GACCTCTTTTTCCTAAGATTGCCAAATAAGAAAATGACAACAGCCAACACAACAATAGTCATCCGGTGTGTGAATAAATCAAAATTATACCTATTTTTTTGGCAAAAATATATATGTTTTGGTGTGCCACAGAATTTTAGTAATTAGTTTCTGCATGCCATGAAATTAAGAAGGTTGAAAACTGCTGATTTAGATCAATCAGTAATTTTTATTTATTTATTTATTTATTTTTTATGGATTTCAGAGAGGAAGGGAGAGGGAGAGAGATAGAAACATCAATGATGCAAGGGAATCATTGATTGGCTGCCTCCTGCACATCCCATAATGAGGATTGAGCTCACAACCTGGGCGTATGTGCCCTTGACTGGAATCAAACCCGGGACCCTTCAGTCCGCAAGCGACGCTCCGAGCCAAACCAGCCAAGGCAGTAATTTGTTTTTTAACTCAAAAATGTATCTCAAAGAAAACTCCTTGTTAGTCCAGATCTATGGAACTCTTTTTGAACAGATGCTTAGCTTAGTATCCCATTCTATAGTCAGGTTATTGAAATAACCCCCTATGTATGGACAGTTAGGTGGTTTCCAGTTTCACAACTACAATGCAACAGGCTACTAATTGATTTTCCTATTTCCAATCTTGTTCCCCTTCTTTCTGTTTCCAGTACAGCAACCAGAGTTATTTCATTAAAAGCAGAGAGTAAATCAATACTCGAAACGCTCCCAGGACTCCCACTTCATTCAGAGTAAAAATCAAAGTCCTTATAATGACCTAGTTGGTCTGCATCCTGCTCCAGAATATCTCTGGTCGCGTCTCCTGATAGTCTCCTCCTTGTCCATTTGATCCAACCACCCTGACTTCCTAACTACTTCTAAAACATGCCTGCTATGCTCCTGCCTTTGCACTTGCTGTTCCCTGTGCCTGGAACACTCTTCCTTCAGTTATCTGCCTGACTCACTCATTCATCTTCTTCAGGTCTTTGCCCAAATGTCCCTGCCCTGCCCTATGAAAATTACAAAACTCTTTTACAGAGATAATGGCAACGCAGTGATGGCTGAAATTGTGGGTAGAGTGGACCAGATGTGTCTATGCTTCCTTCAGCTCTAAAATTCTGCTTTGGTGATTTCAGACCTCGAAGCCTCCCATTCACAAAAAATGTGAACTTGAGACTCAGCCTAGGATGTAATCGGTGCAGAAACAATGACAAAAGAGGAATCCCTTGGATCAGGCTTATGTCTTGTTAATTTGGAAGGACTTGGGAAGTTCCTGCTCCCATCCTGGCCTCCTGGCATTGCCTCATTCACTCACTCACTGAGTCACTGAGCACCTTACGCCTCGTAGGCCCTGGAGACAGTACAGGTCTGATGACCTCTCACTCCTAATGTAAAGCAAGCTATCTCTGCTTCCACCCTCATCTCAGGCCTGGCTTTTCCGTGGTTCTAGAGGTCCGGTGATATTTGCTGAAAGTGGCAATCACAGCCCAAGCAGACCCTGCCCTCCCTTTGTCTGATCAGTCCTCCTTCCTTCTCTTATTGTCATCCACCCTTCAGGGCCTGGGAGCAAATGGCTTTGCATTTATCACCTCCCAAGACACTACATCATTTATTTATTTACCTGATTTAGGATCTGTCCTCTTTACTAGAATGCCAGCTCTCTCAGGTCAGTGATTTTTCTGTCTTTTCATGGCTGCATCCTCACACTTAGCACAGGGGCTGACACAGGGTAGGCCCTCAATTGCTGGAGTGACTGTGCCTCTGTGTGAAAGCGGAGGAGTGTGTCTCTTGGAACGAAACCTAAGAAATAGAAATCCTAGGTCACAGGGTATACATGTTTTGTCATTTTAATAGATGTTGTCAAATTTCCCTCCAGAGCAGGGGAACCCATCCATTCTCCCACCTGCTGAGTTACCTTGCAAATCCTTGATACTTTCCAACTTTAAATTTTGGTCAATCTGATGGGTGAAAAATGGTACCTCTTTGTTTAAACTTCCCATACAAGTGAGACCAAGCTCCTTTTCCTGTCTTTAATGGCCAGTTTTGTTTCTTCTTCTAAGAATTGGCTATTTTTCCAATTAAATTTTGTTTTGGTTCTTGTCTCAGGAGATTCAAAGGAGACTTTTTGTTTGTTCGCATTCTGGGTTCTAATCCTTTGTTACATGTGTTGGAAGTATTCCTCCCCTAGCCTTGTTTTTTTTTGTTTTTTTGTTTTTTTTTGTCAAACAGAATTTTAAAATTTTGGTTTGGTTGGTCTTTTCTTTTGTCTTAATTTTTTCTTATGTCTTACTTAAGATTTTCCTACCCCAATGTCATCAACATATTCTTTTAAACTGTAAAATTTTTAATTTTTAAATATCCTTAGGGTTTTAATTCATTTGAAACTTGTTTTTGTAACTGGTACAGAATAAAAATCTATTTTCCCCAAATGAAAAGCAAATGTCCCAGCTCCATTATTTGTTTGTCTCTATCTGATTTCAATTCTATGCAGCACTTACTAAATTCTGATATGCATGGGTCTTTTTCTATACTCTTAAACTCTTCTACTGATTAACAAATTTTTCTATGGCAATTCCCTACTTAAAAAACACACACACTTTTGTATAAAAAAAAAAACAACCAAAAAAACTTTTGCAAGCTGGACCTGTGTGGCTCAGTGGTTGAGCGTCAACCTATGAACCAAGAGGTAACAATTTGATTCCTGGTCAGGGCATATGCCCAGGTTGTGGGCTTCATCCCCAGTGGGGGGCATGCAGGAGGCAGCTGATCTATGATTTTTTATCATCATTGATGTTTCTATCTTTCTCTCTCTTCCTTCCTCTCTGAAATCAATGAAATATAATATATATTTATATATATGACTTTTGTGGAAAATTTCAAACACATATCTGTATATGAGTATGTGTATGCATATATGTCACTCAGGTTCAACAATTATCAATTTGTGGCTAATCTTGTTTCATTTATATTCCCACCTACTTTCCTCCCCTACATACTTCCAACTATTATTATTAATCCTCACCCGAGGATTTTTTTCTATTAATTTTTTTGAGAGAGAGGAAGGGAGGAGGAGTCTGAGAGAGACACATACTTCCATTGGTTGCCTCCCACATGTGCCCCAACTGGGGTTGGGGATTGAGCCTGCCACCGAGGTATGTGCCCTTGACCAGAATTGAACCTGAGACCCTCAGTTGTCGGGCCAACACTAGCCACTAAGCCAGCGGTTCTCAACCTGTGGGTCGCGACCCTTTTGGGGGTCGAACGACCCTTTCACAGGGTTGCCTAAGACCATCGGAAAACACATATATAATTACATATTGTTTTGTGATTAACCACTATGCTTTAATTATGTTCAATTTGTAACAATGAAATTGGGGGTCACCACAACATGAGGAACGGTATTAAAGGGTCGAGGCATTAGGAAGGTTGAGAACCACTGCACTAAGCCAATCCGGCTAGGACACTCCCAATTATTTTGAAGTAAATTCAGGAGTCATTGTATTCCTTCCATTTCTATACGTATCTCTATAAATAAGAAGTACTAAAAAAACCCCAAAAAACCAAATTGAAGCAAACAAAAAACCTTGCAGTTTATTTTTTTGAAGAAACTAGATCTTTTGTACTCATCTGGATTTGTTGTTCTTGTTTATTTTTGTTTATCCTTACCTGAGGATATTTTTTTTTAAATATATTTTTTATTGATTTTTTACAGAGAGGAAGAGAGAGAGAGAGAGAGAGTTAGAAACATCGATGAGAGAGAAACATCTATCAGCTGCCTCCTGCACATCTCCCACTGGGGATGTGCCGGCAACCAAGGTACATGCCCTTGACCGGACTGAACCTGGGACTCTTGAGTCTGCACGCCGACGCTCTATCCGCTGAGCCAAACCGGTTAGGGCACCCGAGGATATTTTTTCACTGATTTTTTAGAGAGTGGAAGGGAGGGAGGGAGGAAGGGAGAGAGAAACATTGGTGTGAGGGAGACAAATCCATTGATGGCCTCCAGCACCAGCTGACCTGGATGGGGATCAAACGGACAACCCAGGTACCTGCACTTAAAAAAAAAAAAATCAAAAATCCAGAGAGGAAGGGAGGGGAAGAGAGAGAGAGAAACATAAATGATGAGAGAGAATCATTGATCTGCTGCCTCCTGCGCCCCACACTGGGGATGGAGCAGGCAACTCGGGCAGGCGTCCTGACCGGAATCGAACCCTGACCTATTGGTTCATAAGTGGACACTCAACAACTGAGACACGCTGGCAGCGCTTGGTTCTCTCTTTAAATAGATTTTTTAGAGAGAGAGGAAGGGAGAGGGAGAGAGAAACAGACGCCCAACCAAGTGAGCCACACCAGCCAGGGCCAGATATTTTTAATTCAAATCCTATCTCCTCCACTTATTACGTGATTAGACAAGTGTACTCAACTTCTTTGAGTTCTTGTGGTTTTTCCTACAATACAAGGATAACAACACTCGAGACGTAGATGGAATTAAAACTGAAAAAACGAGGAACCCAATAAACCGCTGTTTAAACCAGTAATATCAGGTCGTGGACTGTATTAAGAATTTGAGGGTCTCCTTCATTGGCAGAGAAGCTGAGGGCGAGTCTATGTTGCAGGCAGGGGATTCTATATTAAAATGGAAGTGAATTCCTACAAATATCAGGCACGATGCACAATTACAAGGAGAAAAATAAAATTATAATAATTATAATTTCCTTCCGTAAAAGTTTTGGGGAGGTCCAGGATGGGCGCTGTTTTGTTACCTAAATCGACTCCCCGTCTTTTCAGTTGGTACCACCTTCCCCAGAGTTTGGAGCTGAGCATTCTGGGCTTTGTAGTAAATCCTTATTAGAGCTGTTCTAATGGGCTCACGAAAGCTCCTGAGACTACATTTCCCAGGAGCCTTCCGGAGGGTGGTTGCTCTTCCCTTATCCTAACTTCCGGCATCAAGCGATTTGGAGGGCCAATCGGGAGGCTGGGATTGCCAAGTTCCGGCAGTCTGATTGGTGCATTCGGCTGGAGAGCCTGGGTTCAAATTTTCAACGGCGTTGAATAAATCCCGCGGCGGTTCTTGCGGGCGCTTCGCCGTTACCGATGAGAGGAGGTGAGCCGTGGGGAGAAAAGGGAAGCAGCTGGGGCGCAGGGGTGCCTTTTCCTGATTTTCGAACGGCTGGAGGTTGCCTCCAAGCCCCCAGTTCGGTCCGCGTTGCTAAGCCCGGGCTTCTGGAGGCTTTTGTTGTGGGGCGCCGTCCAGGCAGGGGCGGAGTGGGAGCCGGCCTTCCGGCCACCCTTCTCCTCCTTACCGATTTCCCCGAGAAGCCTGTCTGGGCCGAGTCTAGCGGGCTGTATCTGGAAGTGGAGATGGAGACCGACCGTGGGAAATAGGGGAAGAAGGATGTGCGAGAGGCCGTAGGCTGGTAGTAGTGGTGACAATTAGTGTTATTCCATACGTGAAATAAGCATTTACTGGGCTAAGCACTCTGCGTGCGCTTTCTCATTTAATTTCCACATCAAGCCAAAGAAGGAAGTGCTATTCGTTGTTCCACCTTGTAGAGGAGGAAACTGAGGCCCACAGTCTAGACAAACGTAGAGAAATAGGTGAAACAGTGGCCCCGCTCTCAAGAAGAGTGACTTTTGGGGGAGGAAAATAGTGGTGGTCACAGACAACCACATTTCAAAACTAGATCATCGAGGTGGTGTGAGAACATACTCAAGGGAGAGTTTAATTCCACTTGGAGTTGTGTGTCTACTTGGGATTTTAAATTAATTCTGTTTTATCTGCATTTGCCCAGCCCTCCCCTTTGGATCTAAAAACTAGGTATTATTGCCTTTCCAATTTCTGGTCCTAACCTAGGACATTTATAGGTAGGAGAGGAAAGAAGTGTGAACCAGGCTATAATATTGTAGGATTGGTTTGCCCCCTTTTTCTTGATAATATGGTTTCTTTTTATCACGTACCGTTTTTGTAATTAAGTACCAAGGACTTCCCCCCAAATCAGTCCTGCTGAGGACAAGACAGCATCTGAGTGCTGTACTGCTTTGTATTGTAAGGGCCCTGGCAATTTAGAGGCGAGGGAGATCAATGAAGCTTAGAAATGGACAAGGGTGGCTTTGTGAAGCAGGCGGGACATACACTGGCTCTTGATAAGCAAAGTTTGTGAGACAGGAACTAGAACAGTCTTGGTGCATAGAAATCACCCACTTAATATCTACTGAACTGAACAGGCAGATGGGCATTATCTAAATTGACTATAAAATTGCAGCTATGAAAAAGTGGACTTAATCGATTCGGTTGGTAAATTTGTTTAAACTTTCAAGTTATATCAATAGAGTTACTTTGGCCAGCCTTAGGTGCAAGTCTTTATTCTCACCTTAAAGTTAATTTCCTCTACAGTTGCAATTAAGCTTCTCCAGGAAAGGGGATTACGTGGGAAGGTCCTTCATTTCTGTGTAGGAACCCAGAGAAGTCCAGACTTCTTCTATATCAGTGATGGCGAACCTATGACACGCGTCTCAGAGGTGACACGCGAACTCATTTTTTTTTTGGTTGATTTTTCTTTGTTAAATGGCATTTAAATATATAAAATAAATATCAAAAATATAAGTCTTTGTTTTACTATGGTTGCAAATATAAAAAAATTTCTATATGTGACACGGCACCAGAGTTAAGTTAGGGTTTTTCCAAATGCTGACACGCCGAGCTCAAAAGGTTCGCCATCACTGTTCTATATCCATATTTTTTTTTCTCCAGCCTTTTCTGGGTCTCTTCCCTAATTCTTTCTGACTTGCTGGGGAAGAAAGGAGGAGAGGTTCAAGTGCCCCTTGGCAGACTTAATTTTCTTTGCCATGGGTAAAGGTAGGAAGCCGAATTGACGACAGGGAGCAATTTTATGAATAGATCTGTGTTTGCGACAGGGACATAGAGATCAGCAGCCCAAGGTATTTTGTGAAAAAGTTGTAGAAAACTGGAAGGGGTTCTGCTTTTGTCTGTTTTGGTAGATAAACTTGATTAGGAGGACATTAAAGATTAGTGAGAAAGGTGTAAAGTAGTATGTAGAAGCTTACTTTGGAAAATTTTAAAAGAATGCTAGTTCTACTTAAAGAAACCCAACACACCTAGTAAAAGTGTTTTTCATATTTTAAGTGTGCCTGCTATTTGTCCTGTTTGAATAGGATAGAAGTGCACACTGCCACCCCTTGATGTCAATGTTCCTAAATTGCAGGTTTTGGGAAGGTTGCTCTAAAATGGGAGTAGGTGTAGGTAATATGAAAGACACCAGGAGACAGTAAATATACCCTCCCAAAATTTAAGAACACTTTTACACTGATGGAACAACAGTCTGTTAAGAAGTTTGGTGTTTGGGGGATCCATGCTATTTGGACCTTAACTCTCAGAGAACTCTGGTTTTGAGAGTGGGTATCCTTGATCTTAGAGCTCCTTCCTGTTCTCTGTTAACCTTTTTTACTACAGAGAACTTGAACCTGTTTCTTCATCTTTCTGCTTCTCCCAGGTTCTTGTTTCTTTTTCTTTATTATTATTATTTTTCTCTCAGGTTCTTGATAAGAAGTACTTGCTAGACTTCAAGATATCAGAAGAGAGGTGAAAGTATATTGCAACTTTGATTGGACTTAACAGGTAAGTTTGTGTCCACAGTGAATTACATTAAAAAAAAAAAAGGAACATTAATATATTAGCTTCAGAAGTATTTAAGTAAGTTTAATATATCTTTATAAAATAACATGTTTTGGAAGAAAATTTATTTAATATTGGGAAAGCAAAAGAAAACAATATAACCCATTGTCCCATCTCATAAACTGTGGCTAACATTTTGATAGATTTCTTTCCAGTGTTTTTTGTGCCTATGTTTGGTTTTAAAAAATTATTCACTGAAAACCTTTATTCCCCCAACCCCCAATAGTTATGAACATTTTTTTCATGCCATTAAGATTTTGTAGAACATATTTTAATGGTTATGTGTTATTCCTTTGGTACATAACACCAAATTGCCTCATTGGAAAATTATGCTGATTCACATACCCACTGACAGTATATATTCATACAGGCACAAATTTATATTTTAAAAATATGTAATACATTTGCATTGTGCAAAAATCAAAATAATGTAAAAAGATTTATAGTATTTAAAAATATTCTGACCCTATCACTGTTGACCTCACTCCCTGTCACCTCAGATGATCACTTTTTTAGGTTCTGCTTCCCAAACCTTTTGAAGAATATAACTCTCTACAAGATGGAGTGATTGAGAATTGATGAGGATTACAACCTGCAGCCCCACTGTCAATCCTTACAAATGCTTTCAGCTTCTTACTCTTGGAATATCAGAACACTAACATTTTACAAAGATTTGTGTCATTATTTGGCCTAGAGGTAAATGGCATTGAATTCTATCCAGGTTCTATTAGTCATGTAAGAGTGGATTATGGTTTATAGAATCGATGGATAGATAAAGCAGAACTGAGTGTAATTCTTCAAAGAGAGTGATCTGAAACACAAGTTTGGGAGAGAAGTGATAGAAAAAAATGTATTTGTTTGAGGTTTCTGGACAGTGATGAATTAGAACAAGTGTCCATGTATTCTGTGCTGATTTCAGAGTGCTTAGACAGTGAGGGATTGCCATTGGATTTTAAATTGACCCAATTTTGGAAGCTTCATAGATCTGTTTCTGTAAACAGATCCAATTTCAACACAGAAATTAGTAAACATAAATGTGGAAACACAAAGTCCATTAACTTCCTTCAGACTTAGTTTGTGACTTAGATTAACAGTTACAATTGCACGCTGGATTATGTTCCATTTAATGACTCCTGCTGATCTCTTATGCACAAAAAAAAAAAATGTAGGTGTTTTCTCTCTGGGTAAGATGAAAATAACTCAACTCTATTTAACTTGTGGTATGTAATAGGATATCTTATGCCTTGTGAAAGTAGGAGAGGGTGTCCCTGGGGAAATGGCACTGCCTGGGATGGGACCATCTTAACTAACTACACTTCTAATAAAGTCTTGAGTTGCTCTGTTTACTCTATGATATTTCCATTTGTTTACCTCATGATTTTTCCTGCAACAGAAATAGGCAAGACACAGCTCGAAAGCTGGATATTGAGATTCTCAATTGAGAACATCTATCACACCAAAGTGTTTGTTTTACTTAGGAGCTGCCAGTTCACTATTTCAGCCTTGCTTAGAATGCACCCTTTTGACACTTCCTTCCACTCACTTCTGAACCTGCACCTTTTGATTTATAGAGCTTGTCAAGACTAGTTATTTTTGGTTTAGAGTGAAGAAAGGTAGACAGGAGGTAACAGAGGTTAATATCAGATGACTATGGAAACAGGTAGCATTGCTTCTTTTGCAGTCTTCCTCAATTGTGTATCCCCCCCCCCCCCCCCCCCCATTTGTTTCCTCTTTCCATTTATCTCTTCCCCTAGAAAAAGTCGACATTCATCCTTACCCGGTAGAACTGTATTTTTTAGCTCTGACCCTTCTTCTTTTTCTTCTTTTTTTAAATATATATTTTTATTGATTTCAGAGAGGAAGGGAGAGGGAAGGAGAGAAACATCCTTGATGAGAGAGAATAATTGATCGATTGCCTTCTGCATGCTCCACACTGGAGATCAAGCCGTGACCTCCTGGTTCATAGGTCGATGCTCAACCACTGAGCCACGCTGGCTGGGCTCTGACTCTCTTTTGCTCTGTTATGCTTCTCTGCACTTCTGTAGTTTATCCTTAGTTGTCCTTGGTTTATCCCCTATTATAACAAGGATCACACTGTGTTATAATTGTATTCTCCACTCAACTATGAGTTTCGTAAGGGAGGGCATTATGTATATCCTTTTAGTCTTTGTTTTTTGGGAACAAAAATAAGGTATATGATATGATGGGTGGCACTTAGTAGGCAGTTTTTAAAAGGAAACTAGTTCATAACATACCGGAGAGGCTTTTTTCTCTATTGTAGGAGTTATTGGTCAGAAAGAGCTATTTTTTTCACTTACAATGTTCCTAGGTTTGCAGGACTCTGAAGCTATGGTGGATTTAGATAATTTTGAAATGTGATGTTGATTCTTTTACTTGGCAGTTCAATTTGTTTGGGGGAATGTGGTTGACGCATGTGTCTCCCCCTGCCCCTCCCCAGTGAGACGTGTTGACAGAAATTCAATCTTGATTAAGGGGTGCAGGAAGGCATCCAGTTCCCACCATGTATGGGCTCTCTCATTTAAACAGTTGGCTTTAGCCCTGGCCTGCTCCATTTCCTCTAGGCTTTGTGCTCTTCAATTTTTGAAGGTTTTACATTCTATATTTATTATTTATGGGAGAGGCAGTGCGGTGAAACTGGCAATAACCCTTCGTTACTTTTGACTTTGTTCATGTACTTGTGCTATCACCCTTTATTGAGGAAAGTCAGACTTCTCAATGAATGTGCATTTGCTTTTAAAATTTCACCCAAATAAAGATCAGCTGACTCCTGCACACCCCTTACTGGGGATCAAGCCCACAACCCTAGCATGTTCCCTGACAGGGAATGGAACTGTGACCTCCTGGTTCATGGGTTGACGCTCAACCACTGAACCACACCAGCTGGGCCCTTTGCCCCCTTTTAAATTGGATTGTGGTTAGTTTGTTTCTTGGTGCTGAGGTTTATAAGTTATTTATAAATTTGGTATATTAAGCCCTTATCAGAACAGAATATGTTCTCTTATTCAGTGGATTGTCTTTTCATTTTGTTGATGGTTTCCTTTGCTGTGCAAAACCTTTTTAGTTTGATGTAGTCCCATTTGTTTATTTTTTCTTTTGTTTCCTTGCCCGAGGAGATAAATCAGAAAAAATATTGTTACATGAAATGTCTGACATTTTACTGCCTGTTATCTTCTAGGATATTTATGGTTTTGAGTCTAACATTTGAGTCTTTAATCTGTTTTGAGTTTATTCTTGTATATAGTATAAGAAGGTGGTCTAGTTTCATTTTTTTGCATATATCTATCCAGTTTTCCCATCACCATTTATTAAACAGACTCTCTTTAGCCCATTGTATGCTTTTGCCTCCTTTATCAAATATTAATTGACTATAAAGATGTGGGTTTATTTCTGGGTGCTCTATTCTGTTCCATTGATCTATATGTCTTTTTAAAAAAATATATTTTATTGATTTTTTTTACAGAGAGGGAGAGGGATAGAGAGTTAGAAACATCGATGAGAGAGAAACATCGATCAGCTGCCTCCTGCACAGCCCCTACTGGGGATGTGCCCGCAACCCAGGTACATGCCCTTGACCGGAATCGAACCTGGGACCTCAGTCTGCAGGCCGACACTATCCACTGAGCCAAACCGGCCAGGGCTATATGTCTGTTTTTATGCCAGTATCCTGCTGTTTTAATTACTAAGTTCTTGTATAGTTTGATATTTGGTAGCATGATACCTCCATCTTTTTTCTTCTTTCTCAAAATTGTTCTTGCTATTTGTGGTTCCATATGAAATTTTGGAATATTATAGTTCTGTGAAATATTGCATTGGTAACTTCATAGGAATTGTGTTGAACCTGTAGATTGCTTAGTATGGACATTTTAATTATGTTCATTCTTCAGTGTCTTATAATTTTCTGAGTACAGATCTTTTACCTCCTCGGTTAAATTTATTCCTAGGTATTTTATTTTGTTTTGAAGCAATTATGAATGGGATTGTTTTCTTAGTTTTCCTTTCTGATATTTCATTATTGGTGTATAAAACTGCAATTGATTGCCCTGGCTGGCATTGCCCAGTGGTTAGAGTATCAGTTTGTGCACTGAAGGGTGTTGAGTTCCATTCATGGTCAAGAGCATGTACCTGGGTTGCACGTTCGATCCCCCGGCCTTGGTCGAGGTGAGTGCAGGAGGCAACCAATCGATATGTCTCTCTCATCTCTCTCTCTCTCTCTCTCTCTCTCTCTCTCTCTCTCTCTCTTTCTCTCTTTCTCTTCCTCTCCCCCCGCCCTTCCACTCTCTCTCTCTGAAAATCAATGGGAAAAAAATATCCTGGGGTGAAGATTAAAAAAAAAAGCAACTGATTTCTGGATATTTATTTTGTATCCTGCTACTTTACTGAATTCATTTATTAGTTCTAGTAGTTTTTGTGTGTAATCTTTAGGGCTCTCTATACACAGTATCCTCTCTCTCTCTCTCTCTCTCTCTCTCTCTCTCTCTCTTTCTCTCTTTCTCTCTTTCTCTTCCTCTCCCCCCGTCCTTCCACTCTCTCTCTCTGAAAATCAATGGAAAAAAAATATCCTGGGGTGAAGATTAAAAAAAAAGCAACTGATTTCTGGATATTTATTTTGTATCCGGCTACTTTACTGAATTCATTTATCACTTCTAGTAGTTTTTTGTGGAATCTTTAGGGCCTCTATACACAGTATCATGTCATCTGCAAATAATGACAGTCTTACTTTTCCAATTTGGATGACTTATTTCTTCTTGTATGATTGCTGTGGCTAGGACTTCAGTACTGTGTTAAATAAGAATAGTGAAAGCAGACATCCCTGTCTTGGTTCCAGTTTTAAGGGAAACACTTGTAGTTTTTGCCCATTGAGTATGATGTTGGTTGGGGTTTATCATATACTAGAGGCCCAGTGCGCGAAATCGTGTGAGACCCCAGACTCCGCTGTGCCACCGCAGGCGGGACCCATCAATGCACCCCCTGGTGACCAGTCGTTTGGTCGTTATGGTGTTACAGCCACTGGCTATATATACATATATATATGGCCTTTATTACTTTGAGGTATGTTTTCTCTATTCCCACTTTGCTGAGAGTTTTTATTATAAATGGATGTTAGATTTTATCAAATGCTTTTTTTGCATCTATTGATAGGATCATGTGGTTTTAATTCTTCATTTTGTTTATGTGGTGTATCACATTAATCGATTTGTGGATATTGTACCAACCTTGCATCCCTGGAATAAATCCCACTTGGTCATGGTATATGATCTTTTTAATGTACTGCTGGATTCGGTTTGCAATATTTTGTTAAAGACTACCTCGTTTTTGAAGAAATATTTGTAGGAAAATCTTGCATGTTATAATAATTCCAGATTTTGGAATCCTATGGACCTGGTCTTAAAACTCAACACTGCTATACTAGTTGGTAATTGGAGTAGCTTAACTTCTCTGAGCCAGTTTCCTTATTTGTAAAATCGTGATGATGATGATGATGATGATATCTACTTTCTATATTGTTAATTCAGTTTAAATGAGATGATTTATATGAAGTGCCTGATAAGGTGCTTGGCCTATAGTAGACAGCAGTATTTGAAATATATTATTACTTACAAATGGTTTTGTCTCTTGCTCCTTGACATTTGATATTGATCTATACAAATATCTATTTTAAAATAAATATGAAAGGT